CAAGGCCATAGGCAATGTTACAGTGTATCAGTTAAACTGGCTAAGAAATTCTCTGCTGGTCTGCGCCGGATACAGCATCTCTGATGTCCTGAACTGGGATGTGCCTTCGAAACCAATTCTGTTCCATACGGCTTGTATTTTTATCCTCGGGACTCGATGGTGATAAAGGCATCACAAAGGGCATTCGTTCAAATGATCCATCACTTAACATTTACAATGTGCGGCAACTGAGATTTCAGCGTCGTTTCAGGGGTCATTTAGAGAGCTACGTAACTTACTGAGGTCATCCCGCTAATTTTATGTCTTCATCCAATTTTATGTAAAGCTGTATTCCATCAGGGACTCTTGTGTTCTTTTTCTTTTGCTCCAGCCGCTTGCACCACTTTTTAATGGAGATAGCGGCTGTCGTCTGCTGCGGGCTTCATTCTGAGAACAAGTGCTCGTGTGAGGTTAGCAACGCTCCTGGCTGTTGCTGTCTGTAGCAAAGTGCCCCTCGAACGCAAAAAAGCGCAAAGAAGCTGTCAGTCAGAAAAATGTCGGCCACTGCTCTGGAGCGTTGTGCTGCACAAGTCGATATTATCGACTTCATAACAATCATTGACTCCCCCCCCCCTCCCGCATCTACACCGGTGATGTCACAATTTTACTTTTACTGGTAGTTGACCCATGCCTGCTATCCATCTCGTTCTCCCGCACGCTCGATTGGCTTTGTGAAATCTCATCGAAGAAATAATGGGGGTCGTATTGTGCAAAATTGCACGACTCAAGTATGCGCCCCTTCCATCCAGATTCCGACTGAATTCGCTGGACGGAAGCTCTGCTCTTTTAACGGGAACGTCCAGTTCACATCATTTTTCAGCTGCAGACCAGACCTTTTTATCGGCAAAATATCGTTGATCAACATCTCCAATGCTCGAAGCGCTTTGGAGAGGGCAGTTGGCCGTGTGACGCGGCTGCAGCTTCCCCGGCCAGAAATCTGGAACGTGCGGCTTCCTTGCTTTCAGCCAAGCTTCTACTCATTTCGGCCCATTCAGATTGTCATCCTTTATAAAATGATCATCTGTTGTTTTTTCCTAGAAGTATCTCTATTGATGGCTTGATCTTCTATTGGATGACCCCCCCCCCCCTTAATAAATTCAGCAAATGTTAAAGTAATCAACCTTCAAAGTAGCTTTGAAAATTTTCGACTTCGAAACAAATTTAAAGAATTTCTTAAGAAACACACCTTCATTTTATTTTATTTTATGGGTAGATCTGCCCTAAGAATTTTCCAGATGACCCACGGCCTAGTTTATGTATACTTTCGGCCGTCCCAAAAAAATTGTGCCCTCTGAATTCTTGTTCTCGATTCACACTCCATAAGACGTAAACCAAATGTTCCAGCGATAGCATAAGCTAGGATATTCTTATATCTTCCATCAGAAGGGTTACATAAGCGCGTATTTCACTGGTATACTTACTTTTGCTAACTTTTTTTGCAATTCACTTTAACGCTCTAATTCTTCTATGCAGAATAGGATTTATTCTCAACCTAAGTGGTATCGGATAAGCTGTCCAAGTACTGCAGAGCCCTCGAAGCGCTTTCGCGCTCGTTCTCATCACCTTTGAAAAAAGGCTCATCAGCAGAAAGGATACAATAGTCCCAGCAATACCCCTTGTACAGAACATGTGCTGTTACTTTATAAAGGCTTTGTAATGTTCATTCGCCGGTTACGGTCAATCGTAACTAGAAAAACCTCAAAAATTTTATACAGTCTGTGCATTTTTCCACTGTGTATGCATGTGTTTCAGCCTCCATCGCCAGTTGAGGTCGTTCTACCGCAACCACCCGTAGTCGCTGATTCTGAATCGGCAGAAGTAGACGTCACTGAAACAATCGTTCTACCTAAAAAGACCGACAAACTGGATTTCACCAGGTATAACAAATCATACTAGCCATTTACCGCTATGGCTACGCGAAAGGCATGTGCATGGCACGTTCTAAGGATTTCGACGGCGTTAAGCACAGTTTCTCTCATTAGTATTCGCATAATTCGGTTTGTTTCAGGAGATGGCTCCAGGACGATTTGTCGTCTTTGGCTCTCCAGCCGCCGGCACCAGTTATGTTTTTCCCCGAAGCGGTGAGTTTTCCTTTGAAACTCCTCTATCTTGATTGAATTGAGTTGGCCTGTCAATGAGGCCTCGCTTGAGGACTGAGCAAATCACATCAGTGTTTTCGCTTTGGAATGCTAGGATCATCATGACGAATATCGAAGCGCTATTCGGAATGATATTTATATTTGAAGCCATTATTCGAAAAATTTTAACGACCACCTCTGGAAGCTGTAGCAATTTACTGAACGAGAATCTTTTCCTGAAGAGTGATGGCGGCTCCTATCGTCTGACTGGCGAAATTCGCGCTGTCTGCTTGGAGAGCGCATTTCCACTTTCTCTAATTCCTTCGATTAGTTCACTTTAATGACAGGTCTTACCTTGGTGAGACCTATGAGACCTGTAAGCTTCTGCGAAGCTGCGAAATGGGGCGAGTAAGCAGCTTCGGTCAAATAATTAATAGGTTTTCACCAAGTGGCCTGGCAGCCTCTGTGTGTCTAGTGGTCCCCTATTGAGTCCAACGTTTGGTTTTTTTGGCCCAGTTCTCTTACCTTCGTCACCTATGATGCGCACATTTTTTCTCAGAAGTGGCACTACTCAAAAACTGTGAAAATAAGTTTGCCGCCTCAATAATGCTAACCAAAAATTTTCTTTTGTGGGACAACTATGCACTTCAGAGAGATAATGAAACAGCGAAATAATAACCTCGCTCAAAAAGAAGTTGGCTGATCGCCGTCACCAAGGATCCGCCTCTTTACTGGCTTGACCCTTCTTATGCGGGCAGGCAGGATCCACCAAAGTAACGAGGGAACTACTAGAAACAGTTCAGCCTTCTGAAAGCCTCAAGTTTTCTCTATCATGAATTTCGCTAAAGACTTTGATACTGTTGAAAATTGTATGATGGCTACTAATACTAACGAATTTCAGTGTTCGTATTACAACGACGCCGACGAGCACTCATTGGGCAGCTGCTCCGCTGAGGTGGCCGCGATTAATTCACCCGCAAGAAAAGACAAACCGAAAAGAACTCGCAACGGGTACGGACTTTTTACTGTATTTATGCTGCTTACGAAGTCTCGCTTTCGACGAAGTAGATCAGGAAGATGAGGACAGGGAGGCACATCATCTCGCTTAGTACTCAATTCAAGTCTTGATATCAAAAGGAAGTTTGCTGCCCAATAAGTACCACGCAGAATCAGAAAATCACTTTCATTCCCTCGATCATGCTTATTTGTCCCTCATTTGCTTGAAAACCGATGTGTAGCTGACTTTGAAACTTTCACACTAGATACTAGACATAGAAGCCTCAGATTGCTAGTTTGTGACAGCATCTTCAATTATGCCGCAGCTTTCACAAGTCGGACAAGTCATTCTATAGAAACCAGAGGCCCTTATAGCGTAATGGTTGGGGTTTTTCTATTCCCAGACAACCTGGTGTTAATATAACGACCTCCTGACTATGTCGAGATTTGTTTTCCCTGTCAGGACATTTGAGTGGAAGGAACCATAAGAGCAATGTGACGCTACTTCTTCATGTTAGCCATGTAATCGCCACTTATACTCCAAATCCCTGACATGCGGTGGGCGTGGCCACGCACTTCTTTGAAGTTGGCAGTGGAAGTTGTTTTGGTAGAACCTTTTAATATAGAGACAACTGCAATCATGTTTCACAACGCATGGTAAGATGACAGTTGTCTCTAATCGGAATACTCAACAATTAACCCATAATGCACCATGTTCAAAAGAAGTACCCAACCACGCCCACCACGTTTCAGGGATATGGAAGGTATAACTAGTACAAAAATCTTGGAATTGTTCGTTTCTCATGGTTCAAAATCGTATGTTAACTTCAGCATCGCGATCGTGGCCTCTCTGGAGAAACCGGCGCCAATTCGTCCGCAGCCTTGTCGTCCTCAACCAGTATACCCTACACAAGATAGGACGACTGGGTAAGTGGCGTCATCGGTCTACATGAGGCCGTTTTTATCTTTTTTATTTCCATCATTTCGCGCCTGGCTGGTTCTGCTTCTTGAGAACCCCCTGACTTTGACTTTTTCTAAAGTTTCCCAAGACTTTTTGCAGTAGCTATTGACCTTAATTTCTTTGAATGTTATCGGAGACATGACTTCCGTAGAAGCACGACGGTGGGCACAGAACAAGGGAGGGAGCGAGCACAAATCTTTTTTTTGATTTCTTGCGAACCGTATTGATCCTGCTCATGCATCCTTTCCAAAGCTTTCATTTGGGTGATGCGTGAAGGATAAAGTCTTCGCCATTGATAAATCCCTTTTCCTGGGATGCGGCACGTATTCTACTTCCATCCAGTATCGTAATGGGATTGAATGCGTAAAACCAGGGTATTGTATGCGATAGGCCTCTACTGTGACTTGAGGGGTCCAGCAGTTGTACAAGTCACTGTTCTTATGGCTTTGTTCATACTTTGCGGCAGCGTCAACCAGCGAATACCACCGTACACAAGCGTCCACCGCCATTTGCGCGACCATCACCGTCTCGAGGGACTAGGAACGCATTTATATCGATCTAGCGTCTACCTGTTGACCAGGAATACAGTAGTGTGTAACTTTGCAGTGCGGTTGCACAAGCCGCAATTTCACGACGCCTAATCCAGCTGTCTCATTCCTCCTACTTCCCCATGCTCTAGCAGCAGTACCCTACTACATCGCCGAACTTTCTGCTCCTGGTCGACTGCGTGAACGCTGGTGGATGATAGATTAACATCCAAACTTTCCTAGTCGCTCACGCTGACATACGCTTTAAACCCTACTGATCGCTTGTAGACGATGGTAGTCGCTGGTGCGATCGCCTGCCGCGAAGGTATGAACGGGCAAGTCTACCTCCCAGACGAACCAAGCACCGATTTGCCTTCCCTGGAGGATATAAGGCTTGGATAGCCTGAGGGAGCCGGTCCTGGGATTCCATCCCTCGATCGTGTATGTAGTAAGCATGCCACTTGCCACTATACCACCTCCGCCAATCTCTATCCATTTCGAAATTTGTCTAAAGCATTAGATCATAGCGGTTCCTCCACAACATTTTTGTCTAACTATTCCCTATAAAACCAATACAGTATCAATCATTTCAGGCCACGACATTTCCCTGTAGAACTAGAGGTGCCGAATATACCACGTGTGGCTTCATATGATCATGTATCCGAGCGACAACATCCGTCTAATTCCTGGAGATCGGGATCACAGGTGCGGGTTGCCTTCTGCAGTAAGTGTTTATAGTAGCGTTGGTTCGGAAGGAAAGCGTGTTGACTTTTCTCTATATATTTTTCTTCTACTGTAGACGATGTTTTCCTAAGTCTACCGGCTTGTTCTTAGAGAAAAAAAAGTTCCGAAAATGCTTGACCAAAAAACTTCGGCATGCGAGCTTCAGTGCGGCCAGACTTCAAACAAGTCCTAACGACGCACTTGGGTGGACCTAGTGACCCACTCGGCTCACTGGGGCAGCGGGCGGACCTAGCGACACACTGGCGAAAAGGGGCTCTTTTGGCCTAGATTACCTCTCCGGCGGACCTAACGGCACATCCGAGGGGAAAAGTAGCGAAAGAGGCTCTTTTGGCGTGGGGGGGTGCGGGGTGGGGGGGGGGAAGTTGATGGCGAAAGAGGCGCACTTCTGACAGAGATTTTAAATCCTCAATTGAAACCGCGTGGATGAAGCACTGCGTCGTCAAGTGTCGAACGACATCGCAGCAAGCCATTCCTCTAGCGACAACGCTCGTCAAACATATCGCGAAAATCACTTTGGAAAAAATTGAGGAATTGGGCTGGGAAGTACTGCCTCATCCGCCATACAGCCCAGACCTGGCACCATCCGATTACCATCTGTTCCGGTCGATGCAGCACTCCCTGGCCGAGAGAAAGTTCGAAAACCGCGAAGAAGTCCAACTCTAGGTGTCCAACTACTTTGAGTCGCAGCTGGCCGAGTTCTTCAAAAGAGAAAATCCATTCTTCTGCAATAAACGTATGCCAACAAGTCATTGACATTTAGAAGACTATTATCTTTGAATTCATCTTGTTTAATTTCGTTTTTATTATAAAAAATTTAAAACTCTAAACGCGGCATATTCTTCTCCGAAACACCTAGTAGTAGGCACATTAGTATCACTTGGTCTGAATTAGTGCATCATAGATCACCTTTGCCAAGTATGATATAAGCTTTCTTTTAAAGGAGCCTTATCAGGCGCACAAAGGAAGCGTGCCACCTGAGGACATTATGAGGCCGTCTCCGTCCGCCTTCCAGAGCGTATCCAGCTTTTCTGGACGTGGCGGAAATATGAGAGGATCATTAAGGTGAGTCTCAGATTCTCGTTACGCGTCAACAAGGAAAAAGATATTTTGCACGAGAGTAGATGAGATTTGGAATGCGTCCTGAATATGACTTCCAACAGGAGTTGTCGTGAGAACGAATTGGGGACATTTAGTAATCCCACAGACAGTGCAGGTATTCAGTGACACAGGCCTCATTATCCGTTTCTTGGGTACAGCTGCAGTTCGTTAGGTCGCATGAAGTTTCAGCCTCAGAGTACTTTGGGGCATCTCCAGCGAGAGGTCTTATTCGGACGCGCAGGGAGAGGGGGGGCTAGCTCGAGCATTTGTGTGATGCCACGCCTCTGAGCGATTTTCAGCTCTGCTCGGGGTCCACTGTAAGGCAAGCGAGAGGTCGCTCAAATTAGCGCTGATGTACCCGCTACCTCGACAGCATTCTTTAAAAAAAAATGAGGAGGGATTGTCGGAGCGAACTCAAAAGGTGGTAAGGAAAAGTGGCAGAAAGCTTTACAGAAGGTGGGATAGGGTCTGGGGAGGGGTTGAGGTCGCACCAGGGAGGAGGTTCTGAGGGATGGCCGTATGTTGCACTGAATTTCACTGCAATAAATATAGGCAGATGCCCTGACACGACTAACCATAAAAAACGGATCCCCTCGAGCACTCGATAATTTTTTCCCCCCCCGAAAATCAAGTTTTTTTCAGATCACTTCCTGACGCCGGTCTCATCATCCGCGGCAAGTACCAACAGCAGGCGTCACCCATGAAAGACCCATCATTGGCCATCGATCAGTTATGTGCCGAGTTGGAGCTCAACACTGAACAGGTACTGATCGACCAGCAAGTTTCCGAGGTTCCGGGAAGTGTTTTAGGAATAGTTAAGTAGTCTGTAAATCTCCTCGTGAAGGTTTCTCTTTCGTACCTTCCGGCATGGTTTTTCCTCATTTAGCCCTTGACGGCTGCTGACAAGCGACGATCGTTTCCGACTTCGTATGGTCATGACAGCTCGTACGCCACTGGAAGTATGCTCTATGAGCAGCCGACTCGGCGGCAGTCTGAAAGGAGGGCGCCACTGATTGAGAAGAAAGCTCAACCGTGAGTCCTCATCGATTTCGGTGTTTTATGGGGGGGGGTCTACTGATAAAATGGACCGGATTTCTTACAGGTACCAACAACCACCACCGGTGGCGGTCTACCATACGGCGGTGAGCAGTCACCAACCGATTCATCAATCGCACTCAACTCCGATGAACAATCAGCATCGAGTGACGCATGCTGCTGCACAACATCCGCCGCAACAACCACAACCAGCTGTGCAAGTGCAACGGATGCCACAAGCCCCTACGTACTCGACCCATCCGGTTGTGAAGAAAACACCACCACAGCAAGGCCGGCAGCAGAAGTCACTTGACGAGGTCACCAACATGCTGAACAAGGTCGTCAACGATTTCCATGCGAACCAACAGCCTCCGCGGAAGAAATCGCAACCCAGTGAGTTTTCCCTACATGAAATTCGGTAAAACCAACCATGCACGTTCACTGGCCACTGACACGTCAAAAATTAGATAAAAATTTAGTTCGTTGGGGAGCGGAGACCGTGTCAGGCCTATTATGAATCTGCCACGGCGCCAAACTTGTTTCTCTGTTCTCTGCCAATTGTAGAAGCGACCATACGACAACATTTGGTAGAAAACGGGTGATACGAACGACATGATACAGTCTTGTCACTTGCTCGCTTCAACAACCGTTGTAGAACAGTTTTGGCACCGCGCCAAACTCATCCCGCTTGACACGCCCCTTCGTCCTCAGCGAACTGGACTACATATCAGTGTACGCGCATGTTTATAAGTTGATACGTTGCAGTCTGTCGGAAGCGGTGTCAGTAGGCATGAAGGGAATCATCTACCATTGCTGGTTTTCCTGAACCGGTTGCCATTAGCAGAGAACGCAGCTGGCGTCGGCTCATTCCATGCCACCGCCTGACACCGTCCCGACTCATTGCGACGATATCAAGTATGGTTGCATGCAGTTAGATGTAGGTTCCGGTGGGGCAGGGAGGAGGGGCTCTAAAAGAGACATGGAATTTCAATTAATATGTAAGGGCGTCAAGAGGCTTAGCTAAGTGAGCCACGATGGCTGCGAGGGACCAGGCAGTAGAGAAACGGGGATGTACATCTCGTCCCACTGCGGATGATGGGGCGTGTCAAAAGAGGGATGGGTTTGGCACAGCGCCAGAGCTCTTCTTTTCTTTTTTTCCTTTGAGCGAGCGACGATGTAACCTATCGTTCTTACTGACTTTTTCCATCAATTGTTGTCGTTTATCCGCTTCAACAGCTACTGAGAACGGGCCAAACCCAGCCTCACTGACGAGAGCACATCAAACCCACCCTCGCTGACACCCCTTATCATCGGCAGCGAACAAGTTTAAATGTAAACTTTCGGGAGAAGATTGTAAAGAGTAGAGCAGCAACCGGAGCCTGCAGCCATCGGCAAGGTACTCCTTCGTCCCAATATAGGCTACACGCGCGGGACTCCTTCAGGATCCTGGTTGATTCGACCGGCCCCGACTGCACCCTGTCGAGTCAACTGTCCAGAAAAAGCTCCGTTAGTTTATGCGAGTAGCTGGAACTTGGAATCAACGACCCACATCTAAGC